AACAAATAATTGTGCACAATAGTCATAACATCTGATTTCATTTTAAGGTGTATATGATGCCACCAAAGAGGCCTTCAAGAAAGTAGGGACAGAAACAGGGTGGTTAGACAAGACAGTTGCCCTGGGAGCTGACGGCGCAGCTGTCAATCTTGGGCATAAAGGAGGTGTAATAGCCCTTCTCCAAGCTGAGGCAGGGGCTTTTATTGTCCCATTTCATTGCATGCCACATAGGTAGGTCAGGTGAACTATCAGGCTAAAGGTAGGCTATTAAGCAATGTATGTTTAAATTTAAGTTGAATCCATTGTAATTGTAGACTGGAGCTGGCAATGCTGTCAGTGCAAAGGAAAATTCCCATGGTGGATCATGTCTACAATCTCCTCAACATGGTTTGGAAGACCTACCACTACAGCAGCAAGTCTATGAGAGAACTGCGAGCACTTGGAGAGGAGCTGGGTGTGCGTGTCAATGTACCAGGTAGTGTCAGTGGGACACGCTGGCTTGCACATGTAAACCGTGCTCTGCAAACCTTACTGAGACCTGGAGGAAAGGACAGAAACCTGCAGAATCCTGGCCAGTTCACAGCAGTTTACTTCCACATGGAACATTTGACTGCATCATCAACCAATACTGACATTGCTGGGAGAGCAAGGAAGGTCTGTATTTAATTTCAAAATGATTTCATATTTGTGATATATACAAATTACTGATATTGGTTACTTATGTCTTGCAGGTCAAGAAGATGATGGAAGATGGGGCCTTTGTGGGTTTCTTTCACTTCTTGGCTGACTTGTTTGAGGCCATTAGCAAATTCAGCCTTCTTCTCCAAAGAAATGATGTTATTTTGCCTCAGGTAATGTTGAGATGTTAATAAGAATATTATTTAACCTTGTTAAATAAAAGTACAAATTACAAATAAATCTAGTCATATATAGTTTATATAGTCATATATATGTCAATGGAAAATATTTTACAGGCTGTGAATGGGATTCAGAATCTTATTGCAACTGTTGAGGCCATGTCAGTGAGATGCAAGCCAGGCGGTAGGCTAGCAGAATTACTGGCAGACCTTCAGAGCCAGAGAAGACAACAAGAGAGCGATGGTGAAGCTCACCCTTTGTACAAATATCAGGTGAGCAATTATTATATTATTTTAGATTTTGATTTGATTAATTAATTTAATATTTGTCTTAATGTTGAATCTTGTGTGAACTCAGGGGGTCACCATCAAAGGAGAAGCCTCTGGACTGGGAACAGATGGACTTTCAATGGAAAGCACACCACAACTGCAACGAGCAGTGAAAGCAACAGTAGAGTGCACTGTGCTGCACCTGAAGCAGAGGTTCAGTAGTCTACTTGGCAAGTGAAAACACAACAACAATTTTTATATATATAATTTAGATATCATTATGAAACATCTATCTTTCTCTTCATTTAATCTCTCTTTCTATTTCTATTTCTTGATAGATGAAGGGTCCTCATCTGCAACTACAAAGGCAGTGAGGTCATTCAAAATATTCAATCACGATTCCTGGCCTGAACAAAGACATCTCCTGACAGACTATGGTGCAGAGGAGCTGGACTTCCTGCTGGACCACTTCTCTCCCATCTTAACGAGGTTAGTAGCTCTTATCAATGATCATGACAACATATAAACATTATAACACAGAACAGCATTTCAAACACTTACCTTGATCCTACAGAAATTTGGTTTGATAAGTTTTTCTTTTCACTATTTTCAGAAATGGCTGTGATGCCAATCTGGCAAGAGAGGAGTATCAGTCAATGAAAATTTTCATTGTCAGCAACTACATGGACAAGTCATACCATGCCCTGTGGGGGATGATGTTGACCAAAATGCCGTTCTGCTCCGACTACAAAGTAAACATCATGTTCTCATTAATTTAGTTAGCATATGACTTTTTGATTGACTAAAACCTAAACTATTGTTCTATTCTTTGTAGAACATCCTCCATCTTGTACACATCATGCTTGCACTACCAGTGTCCTCTGCTGTGTGCGAGAGAGGATTCTCATCCCAGAGGAGGATCAAGTCAGATGTCAGGGGGTCACTTCATGTGGACACTGTTGAGGACTTAATCAGAATTAGCATGGAGGGACCAAGCATCGATGAGTTTGATGCTAAAGAGGCTGTTGACATGTGGCTCAATCAGGCTCAACGTTCAAGGAGGCCTAATTACAAGGGTTGGCCTACACAGGCAACTTATCCCCCACCAAGGGGTGATCTTTCCTAGACGTGTTTAGGCACAAGTTATGTGTCTACAACTTGTTCCGTTATTGACAGTACAGCATAAATATTCACTTAGTATTATTAAGCTGTAACTGGTTTATGTTGTCAAAACCATTGCACAATAAAATGAGTTCATAAGCTTGTAGTTTCTGCATTTATTGTCAAAGTATTTATCAGTGTTACAGTGTATATGATAGGAAAACATTTTAAGTCGATTTCGGTGTGCGCTCCTAAATTTTCTGCTTGCGCCCCTAAAATTTTAAGTTAGGGGCCACTGTGCTCCTAGTAAAAAAAGTTAGTCTGGAGCCCTGTAAACTACATATTTAACATTGGACTTTAGTGGCACAAATTTCCATTACACTATGTAAAGCCACACAATATGTTGGGGCTTGGGCAACTTGGCCTAAAAGCAAGTCTTAACCCTCAAATAGGCCTGTCTAAAGTCTCTCATAAATTGAGGACAAAAAAAGCTCAGACTCAAACTGGTCCTCACAAAGATAGACATACAATAACACACTCACCTGTCATGGGGTTCTTAGGAACAACCTTCCTCTTAACCTTCTTGAAGAAACCGGTTTCTGAATTGTTGAAGTAATGTTTCCTCATGGCGAAAGACTGAAACGGTCAGAACAGTGATTAGTTCAATGTCTGGAAAAACAGCAGAACAGTCGAGATTGGGTACGTAACATAAACCATCTTCCCATCAAACACCAAAAGCAAACTAGGAAACATGACAGTCTTTCTGTTTTTCCCAATATCAAATGACATTGAAAATCAAATACAATAGAAACAAAACAAAAAAATACAAAACATTTTTTGGTTTGATGTAATCCCATTTTAATCCATTTCAAACCAAAAAATTGACCTGGTTTCTCGTTTTTTTTTCTCTCTTTAGTTTTTAGTATATGACAGGAAAACCAGTTGAACTTCACACAATTCACAAACAGTATAGAGGAACATAAAAATGTGTATTTGGGGCGCCACTATAGCTCACCTGGTTGAGCTGGTGTCCCATGTGTAGGGCAACAGTCCCAATGTGGAGGTCATGAGTTCGACTCCTGCTCATGACCCTTTCCCACATGTCCTCCCCCCATTTTTCTCCCCTACTTTCCTGTCTCTCTCTCACCAACACTATCCAATAAAGGCACAAAGGCCAAAAAAATTAATAAAAAAAAAAAAAAAAAAAAGTGTATTTACCTGTCGGGGAATGTACTTTCCGTTCTCTCTGAGAATGCGGCTGCGCAGGAGCACCTGGCTGAACAGAAATGCCAACATGACCTTAGCCGAATGATGTTATCAATGTCACATTAAAAGGTAACACGTTTTCCGTCTGTGTTCTCACGCACAACACCACAATTCACACAAAGATGTTTACTGTCTGATCTACTACAAGGGTTTCATTTTTGCATTGCAAAAGATTGAATGGAAAACAGATGCAACCTCAAACGCTGAAACACACATTCAATATTTCTAAAGTAGAAACATTTAGAATTTATCAGCAGTAATATAACATATACATAATTTGTAATTAAAGAGCTAAAACTAGAAGTTCATGACAATAAAATGCAATAACACAAATGAGCTTTTTCCCCTATGATTAATCTACAAGAGAAGTCTGTCCTACTAAACATCATTTACTCTGATTTAAGGTTTTTTGGATACACTCAACTTCTTTTAAACTATATTTTAGGGACACAGTTTGTTGACATGCAGGTTCCACATGTGCACAGCAAAATGAGCGAAAAACAGGAGAGAAACACTGAAAAGGAAGATTTGGGTGCAAAAAGAAATCAGTTGCATGTAGATGTTTTGACTCCAGAACAAATTATGTTGACTGAAAACAAGTACTCAGCGGGGTCTTGCAATTGTTGCCACCACAAGAGAAAACACAATTAGTTTGTGTGTTACACGATATGATAAAGAACTTTGCCTGACAACAGAGCCATACATGTTTTACTGTTCACATTTAAAATTAGAACTTCTGCCTTCCGGAACAAGTGGACCAAGCTACAATGCTTTAGCCACAGACTGCCTCTTACAATTGGTAAGTTATAGTTATGTTACATTTATAAAGCTGTTTTTCCATTTCTTTTACTCAACCATAACAACATGTTTATTTATAAAATGGGCAGAAATAACAGGAAAATGCATAAATTGCTGTTAAATAAGGTGACATCTCCATGTCACTGTATTACCTTTACTGTATGCAGACCAATCATGGTTATTATAGTGTGTGTTCAAACCCACAGAGACATACTGAGAAAGGAAAAACCCTGATTAAGCACTGAGGCACAACAAAATCTAACTTGTTCATCTACTTCATATGGAGGTAAAAGTATTAAGTTTCTATTTTGCATTTGGTTTTAAATGCTATTTTTTGATATTTGGTATGTTGTTCCCAAAATGAGCTTTATGAATAAACCATAAAAACGGGAAGCTATTTAGACACACAAAAAATGCAGATGAAATCACTAAAGATGAAGGTTTGGTGGACAAATTTTACCTCACCTGTCAGAAACCTGCTCCAGGTCGAGCTTCTTGTCACTGTGAAGCAGCTGGGTGACATAGTGACGAATGATTCCAACAAAGAAAGTGATGAAGACGATGGGCAGGACCACCCACATCCGAATACTGGAGTCCAGTAGGAGCTCTGGACCAGCCATCGCTCTCTGTTTAGCCCACCAACCAAAAAACAGACAAGATGATGCTGTGGAAGAGGACGACAGGGCAAGTTCAGTTCGTAGTTAGTCTGCAGTTTGTTTTTTTCCGGACCGTCATCAAGCATTATTCAATTAGTTGCTAACCATCAAATTAATCACAAATTGCTTAATCTCTGTGAGTCATTTCTGTTTTTTTCCTTCTCTATTACAGAAAACTGAGTATCTTTCAGTTAAGACGAACCAAAACATTTGTCATCTTGGACCTTGGGAAACCATGATCGACATTCCTAAAAACCAGACTAGTGCTGAGAAGTATTTCACTTGACTCTCAATGCAGCTGTTTTTTTCCTAACAAGACAGCTGCCATGTTAGAGCTCTGAAACCTTAAAAATGAGACTCAGAAAGTTTATTCAGGTCTGAGACAGTCTCATAACGAAGAATATGTTAAAATGACTTTAGTTTTTGGCAAAACCAAACTGAGTTAACAAAAAAGGTAGCAGTAAACAAAAAAATAAATAAAAGAAAAAAAAAAAAACAATTACAGAAATGTACCGTTCCCAGAGTTGCTAACTGAGCTAAGCTGCTGCTAAAACCTGGACTCTCTCCATTCATCGCCAATTAGCTAAAGTTAGCATTTTGCATTAGCCGCCGTTTAGCTAAGTATAAAAGTTTGCTAAAGAAGCTAGCCATCTAACCGAGCTAGGGTAGCTAGTTCGGGTTTGAATTCCTGTTCTACAAGGTGGTTCTTCCAATAACAGTTCGGTCTGTTTGATAAACTTGCTGCTAACTGCTGAGACTATTTGGAACGTCTTCAAACTTCACTCACCACAAATATGAACTTTGACAACGACGAGGTGAACACGTTCAGCTGTTTGAAAAAAGAAGAAGATCCACTTCCGGTTACCACGGAATCACGTGATCGGGGTAGCCGAAAACCATAGAAGAAGAAATTTAAAAAATACAGATTTTTGTAGTTTCAAACGAAATACAATCACAAACTGCATTAAAAAACGGACCTAGCAACAGAGATTTTGTTTAAACAGCTGCTTTCATCTGATCAAACAGTCATAATGTGTACATATACACAGCTTTATTTCAGTGGTGATAGCAAAGGTATGTCTTTCAAAAAATGCAATGTTTCTTGTAGCTTAATATTTGTGATAGAAGAAATGTGTGCGGTTATTATTATTGTATTTTAATTTGGTATATCTAATGTCCTAGTTCATATTTGGAAATGGTTTTAGATCGAAAAATGAACAAATGATCTACTCTGCAATTTTCCTGTGGGGTATAATCTTTTAAAACATGACTCGCATGACTGAATCAATTGATTTTGCAGTCATACCACTGCACCTTGTAAGTAATTTTTTAAACTACTTAAGGCATGCTTTTCATACATGTTCAACAATGAGCAATATCCAGACGTGCAACATCAGTTCCACTATTGTTTTTATAATTCCTAATATATCGAATAAGCAGTTTTTGTAAAGAACGTGGTATCCCAGTGTTTTCATAGATACACTTGCACATTTTTTTAATGCTAGATGTTGTATTTCATATTTGCACATTTCTTATTGTACTTTTAAAAATGTCTGATTGAGTGAATGCAGGATTGCTGCCTAATTTCGCAAACACTTTGCAAAGACAGTAAAGGACTTCTATTCTGTTGTGATGCTTTAATGTAATTTTAGTCACAATGTAGAGACTGAAGTCAATTTTTGGAAGATAAGAAAGTGTTTTACATGAGTTGAAGTCAACCTTAAAGGCTATTGCAACTGAAGAGGTTACAATGTAGGACACACCTCAGTTAAAACAAATGGATTAGCTATTATGCAGGACACCTACCAGTAAAATATTGCAGAGACTTAAGGATAACTGCTCCCGGATGACAATTAGATGGTCACCAGCTCTGAAAAGAGAAGCCGACTCAGGGGTGTCTTTATGTGCAATACCACTGAGCATCACTATGTACTGGCTCCTCTGTGGACCCACATTCAAAGCTCATTACAAAAAATCATTATGAATTTTTCTGTTAAATGCACTCCTTCTGATCAGTATTCTGGCAGAAAATAATACCATAGAAATATAGGCCTTACAGGCATTTGGTACAAGGCAACCATGACACTTATTCACAGCTGAACTCAAGTTGCTCCTGTTTTGATTCAATTGTAATATAATTACTGATATTTTGTCATTATATGTTGGTGGAGTAGCAATACATTTCCCACAGACAAATTTACTGTTTGTTAGCTTGTTACAATCAGTTTTCAGTTCACTGTATTTATGACTTTTTCTACCATTAACTCTTAGTGTACTTTATATGCAGTTTTAGCATTAAACATCATTTGTGCAATATACTCTGTGTGTGTGTGTGTGTGTGTGTGTGTGTGTGTGTGCGTGTGCGTGTGTGTGTGATTTGAACTGAGAATAGGTGACAATTAGCATCCCAGTTAATATCACTTTTAATGTGAATTGTTGATGCATCATGCTAATCAACCTAACTAATCAGTCAAAGTCGGATAAAAAGTGAAATGTAACAATGCTAAGCAATGTTTTTGTCTTCATGTGACCAAGCTGAGGTGTACTGTGTTACTGTAATGTGTAATGTGATAAGTTTATAAAACTAAAATGCTAATGCTGGTTCAGGTTAATGGAATGTGTAGGTCACCTAAATGTGATTGAACAGTAAGTTTAACTTTCTAGTTGTCATTCAGTAGTACCATAGATCATATAATGTGACTACCATGTTGTCTAAAACAGTGTCATTAAGAAAATAAAATATTACACGAATAAAAAGAGTGCAGTTTAGGAAGTGCTACTATCAAAATTTAAATAAATAAATGAATGAATGAATAAATGAATGAATGAATGAATGAATTAAAAGTAAACTTGGAAAAATTTAAAAGTTAGTGTTTATATATATATATATATATGCAAGGCATTGAGCAATACCTTTCCTTCACTTCAGAGCCAAAGAAGGGATAATGCTAAAACTTTTCAGTTAAGTGTACATACATATAGTCTGGATTAAGCTTCACATTGTTAGATAACCTGATTTTGTTTGTGTAGAGTAGTTAATAATTTGGAATATAATACAATTATATGATTCAGCTTTATTGCCATTACACACAAGTTCTGAGTCAACCAGGTGTAGAAATGTATAAACATGCAAAGTAATAAAATATATTACAATTCAGAAGGATGTCTATAATAGAACATGTGCAGGTGATGATAATATATATATACCATATATAGTGGGGATATATGCAGACCAGGGAATCTTCATCTTCATGGATGTTAGCAGTACAAAAAGTCTGTGGTTGGCATGAGAGGAGGCACTGACTATGACTACCTGCTCATATAAGATCATCATTGGTAGCATGATGCTGCCTCTGCATCAGAGCAGATGTGTATGATCTTTGGTATTCTTTTTTTTTTTTTATCATACTAGCTAAACTAAACTGAATATTTGACCTACTGATGAGCAGAGTCAAGTTGCTGCATTGTTTTTTATAAAACACATTTAAAAGAACAGATGTTGAGCTAAGGTTCTTTCAATATGGAAATAACATCATAAAAAATTACCTAACAAGTTCGTATAGTAGGTTCAGACCATACAACATTATATGTAATGCAAATGTACCCGACTTAATGTTGTAATTGGAAAACCAAAGATTCTGTATGAGCACCATATTACCAACACAAAGAAACCTCCAGCGGGACCAGGCTTAGGGAGGGCAGCCATCTGCCTCGACCAGAGTCAACTTTAATGCTTGCAGAAGTGTTTGATTATGTGTGATAAACTGTGTTGGCAACAGCAAGTAGATTCTCCTATCTGTACACTTTGCATATGTTTGGTCAGACCTGTGGTTTCTAATATTCATGTGAACTGAAACAGTGTTCGATACTCTGAATAATTGTTTTGTCTGTTCGTAATGTTATAGTGGCTTTTAAAGGCTTTTGCTTCTTTCGTGTTTCTGCACATGTACTTATTATTGGGGTCACATATCCTCTGTCCCCCCCACCCAACCCCTACAATCTACACTTGCAGTGTGCAAATGAGTGTGCAGTCACCCAAACAAAACAGGACACATGCTTCCATCCACATGAACAGATTTTTATATCTTTAGAGCAATAAATATTTCCACTTTTTCCATTTCTCTGCAATTTCAAAAACAAAGTACAAGTAATATATATTTATATACACAGCTAAAATTTTCCATACATAATTTTTAAAATAATGTTGTCTCTGTTGACACATATTTGACACTTTACTCATACAATTTTACAAGGACTATTCCAGTCTGTCTTTGCTCTACATTATAAACAAGAAAGATTTTTTTCTCCATAAAGCGGTCCATTGTGTTGTTACAAACAACTTAACTGTCCACCCCCACCCCCCTGTCCATTGCCCTTGTATAGATACACACAACACAGACTGGCTTTACACATGAACAGAAGAATCCAATTTGTTTTTTTGTTTTTTTTACTTTATTTGACTCAGATCTGATGTGCTTTAATTACTAAAAATGTTCCCTGTTTTGCCTGCAGCTATCAGACCAGATCTGTTTCTATTTGCGTTAAAAAAAAAAAAAAAAAATTAGACCTTCCATTCCTGAGGTAAACCCAGCCACCGACAAACCGCCCGCTGCGGCGCAAAGTGAGTACGCGCATTGTTATTTTTCATCTAACGACTGTTATGTACATTCATGTTTATAATACAGTTTCATTCAGTGCAGATACTGTAATAAATACCACATGCAAACCGATAGTGGAGAGCAGACCCGGGCAGGAAAAAAATACTTTAAACTGAGCATTTAAAGGACCATACCTGGCTGGCTGCATGTTCTTAAACTGCATGTACTGTATACTATCTCTGCAAACTATTGACTATGTTAGTAAGTCATGGATTTTAGTATGACTCAGTAAAAATGTACTTGCAGAGACTTAAATCCTGCTGCAGATAACACCGAATTGCTGGCAAGTATTGCATTGACAAGCTTTGTGAGTAAATAGACTCCAGAATTACCAAAGCAATAAAAAATGGACCTTGTACAAATAAGAAGGGGGGTTTGGTTATTTTATTTTTATTTTTTCTGCATTGAAAGTTTGCTGTTCTGCAACCAACCGTCAAATCTTACCACATTCTTCACCTTTCAAAGGTAGGTAAATGTAGAGTAAACCTGAAAGTGGGTGTATTGGACTCCAGCCATCTGAAGCAACTTGCAACTGGACACTTTGGACCACAAGGACTACATTATAATTATAAAAACCCAGTAAAAGCAATAAAATTTTGATGTCATTAGTTCCTGGATCCTTTATAAATGTTGACAAAGATGGGAGATCTATCTGCAGCAAGTGTCCAGTTCTCCGCAAAGTGAATGTTACAAAACTGCAGGGATGATTTGGAAAATGGTTCCTTGTAAAGTACATACAGTTTGTAGCTGATGTGCTACAACATGCAACAGCACTGATATGGAGCTTTAATATGTGACTGAGGATGTGCTTGATTTAGCTTGGCCATGCACTGAGACAGGGTGAAATGTTGTGTCGTCCTATACGAGGTAGGTTTGATCCAGTGCTCCTCGAGAACTTCGTTTTGATATTTTAACTATTTGAGTGGATGTAGTTACAGTAAGGCCTTTGCTGATAGGCAAAATGTTTCGGCAGGCAGTTGTAGATACATGGTGGGGACCCAGAATTCCTAGCAGCTCAGCATGAAGTGCTTATTTGTATGTTGTTTGGTAGCAGAAGTGTTGCTTGTTTCCATTAAAAGGTTGGTGAGAGGCTTCACGATGATTCAGTGGTGTGCAGGCGTGAGTTTGTTCGAGCATGCCGTGGGTTGTTGAGTAAAAGTAATTATCACAGTCTGTGTTAAAAGTATTAGAACAAGTTGTATGTTAGTCACAGAAAATTGTTGGTTTCGTTGTAAACATATTAAAAATTAAAAAAATTTAGTTATTCCATAAAATGCCCAAATCAGAAAAGAAAAAAAAAATCATCTCACATTGTAAGCACATAACAAAAGTAAAAATGCTAAAAATACAAAACAGCCCAAGGAGTACGTTATGTTAGTAGAAGCTTGTCACACAACAATATTGATAATATCAGTAGCACACTCTAAAAGTCAAAGGGGTTCTTCAGATTGAAAACAACAGGGGACCCAAGATGGTTCCCTGAGGAACTCCATCTACTGTTAGAATCCATGACAGTATTTCCACAAACCTCCAACGCGCACGCACGTGCGCGCACACACGCACACACACACACACACACACACACACACACACACACAAGCAACAACTTAGGGATTTTTATTGTTTTGTTTTTCTAGTGAGGAACCCTAAGATACTTGGATAGACTGAAGAACCCGCATCAACGTTTGGTTTTTAGAGCATACATTTTGTTAATTCAAGCAATTCTGAACCTCAGTTACAGATCAATGCTGTTGGCCCCACTGAAAATAGAACACACTGTACAGTTAATATCTACAGTTGGTGCATTCACGTCATCACAGGGAAACTAAAAATGTGTCATTGATGTATGCATTCAGTGGAAAATCCCATCATACACCAGTTAAACGCTGGTAAATATTTATATGAGGCTGCCTAAATTAGCCTCTTCGACAGAAATGCAAACAGCACTGAGAGTTTTATTTCTTGTCAAAAAAATGCAAATGGCTGGTAAAATAGCTCAAGTGGTGGAAGAACTTTCTACAAGCCATTGTGGGCTTCCTGCCCTGACCTCTGCTGATATTGATTAAACAGAAAAAGAAAAGGAAATACACGTTAATGTAGGTTAAACTGAGAGTGCAAAACTAATTAGTAAAAATGAGTTTGTTTCAGAATATTTCCCTTAGAAACATGTTCTGCACTCCAGCTCTGTGAGATGTTAGCAAGTCCTTCAGGATGATGTGATGAGGTCCAAGTTTCAGGTTCTTTGTGTCTTTTTTGGATGACGACGGCAGCAAACGGCTCAGTCAGTCAGCCAGGTTTTAAAAATGCAGTAAATGGCTTCATATTTTCAGCTGTGAATGGACACAATCGATCACTATATAACTGATTAAGAAGCTGAACTGTCTTTATATTCTTAGAATCATTTAAGTTGTACCATTCGTATGTCAGAAGGCACCTTATTCTCCATTTCGCAACACACTGAGTAGTGAATACTGGGTTAAACTCCATTCACCCTCAAGCACACCAGAGTTTTTCTTTTTGTTCTTTTTTTTTTTACTGCTGACAGATACTAACGCAGTTTAGACTGGGTGGGAATTTTTTTTAAAATTCATTACTTTTTAAAAAAATTATCAGAGAAGTCTTTGTCTGTGCTGTTTAAACAAGGTTGGAACTTATCTCTGACCTCAAAACTAAAACACTACCCAGAGCTAATAGCCATAGGTGAGGGCCGGAATGTAAATCTCTTTGGTTTTCCAGCTGCTCCTGGGGGATCCCGAGGCATCCCAAGGCCAGATAAGATATGTAATCCCCTCCAGTGAGTCCTGGGTCAACCCTGGGGTTTCCTCCCAGCTGCCTGAAAAACTGCCAAAAGTTTTTTTTATTTTTTAAATTTTTCTTTTATTTAACCAGGTATGTTAATTGAGAACAAATTCGCATTTACAATGAAGTTTGTGCCCATAAGGCATCCAAATTCCGAAACACTTCAACTTGATCATTTTCACGTAAAGGAGCAGCGACTCTAGATGTCCGAGCTCCTCGCCCCATCACTGTTACCGTCACGGTGAGCCCAGTCGCCCTACAAAGAAAACTCAAATTTGTATCTGCTATTTCCTTCTTTCTGTTACTACCTCAATCTCATGACCATAGGTAAGGGCTGGAACATATACCAACTTTTAAACTGAGAGCTTTATCTTCCAGCTCAGCTCCCACTTCACCACAGCAGTTGGTTCTGCACCAATCAATCTGCCCACCTCAAGTTCATTTACCATCACTTGTGAGCAAGATCCTGATAATTAAACTCCTTTGCTTGGGGCAGTAACTCACTCTCAACTCAGATCCCAAGGAAAAGGAGCAGCAGCACCTCACACAGAATAGGAAACTCAAGCCCCTTTCCAGAGCCAGTATTGGGAGGGTAGTTTGCCAGCAAGGGTCTGGTGGCCAAGCCTGAAACCTTGGGGCCCGACTGGGCACAGACTACCATGGAGCCATCGTCCAATGGTTCCACCTCCTGCAGGGATAGGGGTTTAGGTCGGGTACATGGGAGGCGAAGGAACCATCGTCCAATGGTTCCACCTCCTGCAGGGATAGAGGTTTAGGTTGGGTACACGGGAGGCGAAGGAACCATCGTCCAATGGTTCCACCTCCTGCAGGGACAGGGGTTTAGGTCGGGTACATGGGAGGCGAAGGAGGGTACCTAGTCATGCTGACTGGTTCTAGGGACATACAATTAGAATTTATAACCTTAATATGACCTTAATAATTTTAATTTTCCATCCAGTCCTGTTAACATACCTGCTGAGAAAGGTACACAGAGTTTCATTTTAAGAACATTTTTGCTGAATGTAACCTGAAATGACACTTAGATTAATTTGCTTATGTACTGCAGCTCAGTGACTTCATTAATGGCAGACAAGCCACTGAAGCCAAAGGCTGTATTTCCCTGTTTGGCACCTTTCAGCGTAATCTCCTTCTCTGGCAACATTAGGCTGTTTTCCACTGCAGTAACTTGCAGGTCATTTTTGGGGTGGCCTAAACCTTTGTGTGGGTTCAAACCTCAGAAACTGTCCCTGTAGAACCTCTTTCAGGGCCATTTTCACAGAGGAAAAAAGTACATGAAAATACTTCTGAGTGGCCCTGAAAAGCTGCTGTATGGGTCTTGACGCTGATGGTTAAACTCAAAGAAGACAAATGCTGAAGATTTGACACTGAGAGGACAAGAAATGCAATTTTTCTGTCCTCTCAGTGTCCTCATCCAGTAGCAGACATCTCCTCTTAAACTAAAATTTAACTTATAGGCTAGCATAACAAATCTGCACTGTTCTATTTTCAATGTGCTCATTGAACTGGAGATACATCCAGTCACCACTATTTGTCACTGTTTTGGTGCACTCTGAGTTAGCATAGCAGTGGAAGCTGTTGGATCCCCCAAAGCGATGGAAACAGAAAGGCTGATCACAGGGCCATTCCTGTAAATGTTTGTGCCACCTTGCACCTGCCCTGAGTTCCTGCAGTGGAAACTGCCTATAGAGGGTCACATACAAATGGAGCATGACTTACAGCTAATACATATTGTATTATCATTGCTTACAAACTGAGGCTTACACTTCAATATATACTTGATAAGTGGGGAGAGCTTTCACAGGTTTAGTACAAATTATCAAATAAATACCCACCATATAAGAATAAACAACTGGGAAAATTTTAAAGTCCCAATCCAAAACAACAGTATCACGCCCCCTGCAAGCACCCTGTAATCCACAAAAGCTTTTAGTAATTTTTGCAAAACACAAAGGTAAAAAGACACCTGTAGTTTTTGTTATGATGGCTTATTTAAAGGTTTTAGAGAGTTTACTGTCCATTTAGAAAGTCTTCACTTTTCATGGCCAAATAAACACAATGGATTGGGGCTTTAAATCACAACAAATCCCTCCCCCTGCATATAGGATTTTAACCATAGACACACTGACACTCATTAGCTATTGCACAGGTCATGCATGCCTGTCTAAGACACAGAAACTGCACCATATTAATGCTAACCACTTCTGCTTCTTAGTAACGATTCATGGCTTGTAAATATGTCAACAACCAAAACAATGGTACAAGTGCTCTTTGTGCGGAAAACAAGGTGTTGTAAGACTACTGTGATTTTTGGAATCAGGACTCTTAGTGTTCTCAGGCTCCCTAAAAAAATCTGAACTGTCCCTTCAAATAGTGTTAGCATCGAGTGCTAACCTTTGTGTTATGTTCTCAGGCACTGTTCCCTTTACGTCTGGTCCCTGAACCATTTGTCCACAACAGCAACACACAAATTTGTACTCACAATAAGACACAAACATTTCTGTGAATGAAGAACTACAAATATGTCCTCCAGAGTCCTCGCTCACCTCTGAAGGGTAAGGAAGATGAAGACATTTTCACCAAGACAGCCGGACTATGCGGGAATTTTCTTCATCTTCATATGACTGAAAATGCCATAATTCTTGGTGCTTGTTGCTCCATGGGCAGGTTTTCCAGAAAGATTTGCCCCTGCAGTGTGCAAGTTCCCCGACAACATCTTTCAGAATGTGTGAGAGTTTCTACCTGCGTGGGAAGTGGATGTGAAAATAACACAAGCTGAGTAATTTCCTCTTCCCCGCTCTCAGTGCTCTCCTCCTCACCAGGTGGCCGTTTTGATACACCTGCATTTGCCCTCCTCCTCCTCCTCCTCCTCCTCCTCCTCCTCTCCTCCGCCCTCTCCTGCTCCCTCTCGCTACTGCCCCCCGGCGACTAACAGCAGGGTGGCGTATCACTGTTCTTGATTTCTGCCTCCTTACACGACCGTGCTGATCCGGTTGACGGGTTTCGATTTGGGCCCGCCCCCTTGTCCTCCCCCCACCCCTGGTGGGTGCGGGGAGAGTGGGGCGGTCGATGGGGGAGGTAAGGGGGAGTGCGGAGGAGGAGGTGGGATAGAGGAGAGGGGTGGATACTGAGGTGTATAGGGCTGCTGAGGCGTCTGGGTGAGGAGTCGTGCCGAGGGAGTCTGGGGTGGTGGGGTGGAGAAGATGAAGTGGGTGGACGGGGAGGCGGATGGGGAAGGGCTGAGTGGGGAGTGTGTGTGCATGGCGTGGTTGTGAGAGTGAGTGTGAGCGTGGGGGTGGGGCTGAGAATGCGAAATAGTCAGTGGGAGTTTGGCGCCTCCACCCGGTCGTCCCACCACGGGGTGCGAGTGGTAGAGTCCGTGTGGGGTAGTGGGAGTGACAGGGGAGTGCGGGGATAGCGGTGGGGGCGTGTTGAAGCCGGATGCCATGTTGTAGCGTGGGTGCTGGGCGACGCCATGTTGCAATCTCTGATGCTGCTGGGTAAGAGAGGGAGCGCAGCCGGACGGGCCTTGCCGCCGGGGTGCGGAGAACCTGTGCGAAAGGGGGTGGTGCTGTGGTATGTTCTGCATGTGGTAGCGGTGATGGTGGTGGTAGGGTGGGGGTGGAGTCTGCTGCTGTTGGTGCCCAGTAACACTCACTCCGCCTCCTCCACTGTTGCCGTGGCAATACTGGGCGTGCAAAGCCTGGAGCTTGGACGGTACCCCTCCCGTACCTCCTCCCCCGCCAACTCCTCCTGAGTCCGATTGCCCGAGGTTGGCCGATGGGGAGGGGCATGGGGAAGGGGAGGATGGGTGGGGGATGGGAGGTGCGGGGGCGGGGTAGTGGGGGGGTGATGATATCATCAGGGGACTCGGGGGACCCTGAGGAGGGGGCGACGTCATCGTCAGGGGACCAGGAACCTTGCCTCTGCGACTGCCGAAGAAATTCCCCAGCAGGCCGCCGCCAGTTGGTCCGCCCCCAACCGGCATCCCTCCTCCGCCCCCAACCCCTCCCCCGCTCACGAGTGGGGAGGTTGTAACCCCTCCCTGGTTGTGACAGAGCCCCGGCCCACCCCCCACCCCCGTACCGGGGCTCTGAGTAGGGCGGTGTGGCCGGTAGGCTGTTGGAGAGGAAGGGATCATCATGGGACTGTAGGAAAGACCTCCAGCTGGCAGGGGGCACTGCTGATGAGGCCGAGGGCTGCTAATAATGGAACCCTGAGAAGAAGAAGAGGCAGGAAAATGAGACACAGAACTCGACTTCTAATTATTCAACAATGTTTAAACAGTCACATACCAATCATTTCATTATCAATCATTAATCATGCTTTTATTGTTTTGCTAAAAAGAAGTTGTTGCAAAGCATGTTGCTGCCATGCCAGAAAAAGAAAAAGGATTAGTTTCATGTTACATCATAAACAGTTTTTTGGTATAACAAGACATTTTCACATTACTACAACACAGAAACTTATCATGTTATAACAAACTTTTCTTGTTATGCAAATATACTATTCATCTTGCTAAAATGTTTCACATTATAACACAATAACTTATATTATTAGAATATCAAAAACAAATCAATTGAAATAAATTGACTGCATACATGATTTGATGAAGTTGTACATCATGTTTGGGTTTAACATGATAAGATTCTGTTGTTATTGAGCAAAATGGAGGACACTCTCATAAGTCAAGTATCCATGAAGGCTTCAGTGCCCCTCCAGCTGATCAATGAGCAATTCAATTTATTTCAGTGTTATTTATAAAATCATTTCATTTTAAAATGAAATTATGTGGTCTATGTTTTCTGTTTCCAAACAAAAACAAGAAATCCAAACTCTAAAAATGCTCCCGCTCTCATTTTGAGAAACAAAAAAAAATTCACCACAATTTAAAATTAAACCCACAAATCCCATGTGAATTGTCAAAAAACAAAAATGGACCATGTTTGATTGGTGTTTGTTGTTTAGACTTCTATATCTGAAACCATTTTGCTGTTTTTGGTTTCAAAACAAGGAACATAGCCACATAATTTTTTATTTATGAATTAGAAAAAAATGAGGGATTATCAGGTGATACCCAAACCACACGACTCATTCTAATACCAGTCCAAATTATTTTAACATTGGCAAAGAGCCTGACAGGAGAGTGTGAGTTTCTGACTGACAGACAAGAAGGATTTCAGTGTTATTTTATTACATGTTTCACTTGTATAAGATAAGAAGCTTTAATGATGAGGACTCTGTTTATTTGAAATACACCAGAGAAACCTAGAGCTTTACCTCTAGTTAGGGTCATCCTATATTCATAATTTGTACCAGAGTGGAGGAAACATCAACGCATGCAGACATATTTCAGCTGATGGAACACCATGGTACATATAAAGAAATACTTAAACAAACTATGAAAAAGACAAACGTTCACTGGACAGGTGTGACAAACTGCTGCAGCATGCTGGGAGATCACACGATGCATGCTTTTAGCCCCGGCCCCAACTGCCAAACTTACTTCAATGGTACTGTCCAATGACCCCACGCTGTTCCTACGACCTCGCTTCCCTGTTAGCCAGTCAGAATGAGGCAGGTTAAAATTTGTTTGGAAAGAAATATGTCCAACGTGAAACCACAAATTGAAACCACAATGAACAGCATAGATGTTAGACCAGTGAGATGTTGGTAAATTTGTTTTTTGACATTTAAACACAGCAGTGCTAGTTGTTCCAGTCTGTTTCCAGTGTTTATGCTAAGCTAGGCAAGCTTAAGAATTTTGACTCGTGAGATGCTAAGTACTGCACTTAAATTGTTTCTTTTTCTCCTATTTGAATTCCTCTTTTTGCTGATTTACACTTCTGCTCCACTACATATCACATAAATATATTACCTTGATGCATTTATTTGGCAGCTTTAGTTGCTAGTTGCTAGATTAAAACTTCTCACTGTACAGGTTACAGCGAGAATATTTTGATTTAATTTTGTAATTCCTCCAAATAAATTTTCCATCCCTTTGTATCAACTTTAGTATTACTTCACGAAAGCTTTGCATTCACTCAAAGTAAGGTTCCTGTTCCCTTGCAAGAAGTTTTGCAGTCCCTTGCAACAAGCGTTCTATTACCTTGCAATAACTTTTGGGTCCCCTTGTAAGTTTTTCAAGAAATTTTGTGTTTCCTCACAATACTCTTGGTTCATTTCCTTGCAATACATTTTGTGTTACTTTGCGTAAGTTTTGCATTCCCTCATTATGAGCTTTGAGTTCCCTAGCAATAAGTTCTACATTCCCTTTAAACAAGTTTTCATTTCCCTTGCAATACTTTTTGCATTCCCTTGCAATACTTTTGCGTTCCCTCACTATATGCTTTCCATCCTTTCTGATCCATTTGTGTGTGTTGGTCCAGTTCAGTTTAATTCTAACACACTGCCAGCTTAGGGAGCAATTTAAGATAGGATTGATGATGTAATGCTTGCATTTATTGCTCATTGGTCATATTGGGAAACAGAAAAGCATTGTGATGGAAAGCAAAAGTATTGCAAAATGTGGCAAAGCCTCCATTGTGCTCAAACATATGAGCACATAATAAAATATTACATAATGGCACACATTTAACTCCCAAAATCTCTCTCTAAAAAAACCCCCAAAAAACAAAAAAAGAACATTAAGCTGGTAGAAAGTTAGCTCCAACTCAACTAGACAAAGCATTAAAATACTGCTTGGATATTTGTGCATGTGAATTTTCCCCCTGCATTGATGTAGGAACACAATACAGTAACATTTAGAGATGTCCAGCAGCAGAGCACTCATCCAACCTTGTCCATGCGAGAACAAGGGTCTGAATAGAAATGGCATTTATCCTTTTCATGCCAGTTTACAGGTCCCTCACCACCTGAGGGTCAGACAGGCCATTACTGCTGCCCACACTGTCCTTTTTAGTCCTTTGTCTTTTAACACTGGAAGAAAAGACAAACTACTTCATTTGTTTCTTTTTGATGTGTTCTTTACCAATAAAGGTTTATGTGTGTTACTCTTTTACATCCACATGCATTTTATTTGGTATTGGCACCACATATCTAAAGTTTATTAGCATTATTCATCTGCAGTTATTTGGCTTAGTGTGAGAAAATGATCCATGAACCGTTGTGGTGCTGTTGAGAGGGATTCTAATACTGATGTGCAGCTGTCATCTAACAATGTTAAGTCAAACCAGAAGTTCATAAAGTGCAGTTTGCACAGTAAACGCAACCTCTTTTTACATCGTAGTTCCTGCAGTGGTCCATTAGGGGGAGATGCAGCACCCTAACATCATATTCAACTTCCATCTTACTGTAGTATTCTACATTTCATCACTGTTTCATCAGTTGCATAAGAGCACAGATGTAGGTTTGTTCTGAGTCATACTAAAACCATTGCAGCATAATATCCCATTTGCTGAATTTCTGTCAGGATCTCAGAAAAACATGTGCAGTGTTACTTTACAGGAGAAAAAAACAACAACAAAAAACAGAACAACACTCTGTTAAAGGCTCCTACTGATGTCTCCGTCACAATGACCTCACCTGTCTCTGAGAGGTCTCTGAGCGAGGAGCTGAGCGCAGTGCGTTTGAGTCCATCCACAGAGGCGTACGTGTCGTCGAGGCTCGGTCTACCCAGGGTGCCGTTCACCACCTCGCTCTTGACAGGCCCTCCGCCGATGTTGGGCCCTCCCCCAGGCGTCCCCACGCCTCCCGCGCCCCCCCCTGTCAACATCCCGGGACGCATCACGCCTTTCTGCTTCTCAAGCTCAGCTGGAGGGAGAAAGAGGTTAAATAAAATAACGTTTTACTTTGCTGTGGGAAACTAAATGTTGAATTTCCTTGAATATTTCTATATATGAAAACCTGGAATCAACATGTACAACATTTTCCAAGAGCTTACAGGTGCTATTAATACTGGGAAAAATGCTGGCTCTACATACAATACATATTTAACGGTTTACAGTTTTAAATGGTCTCAATATATTTCTTCTTTCTGCAATGCAAACATGAGACCTGTAGAGTAAAGTGATTTTGATGAAATATCACTATTTTAAGCTTTGATTTGTTGAAGCCTGCAGGCTGAACTGCATGTCACAGAAAAGTCCTTTCAGGGCTGTTAGAAACAGTTCAGGTACAATTTTCCATCATGCCATATATATGTACATATGAAAGGTAGCCATGGTCTATTATTATCCTGAAATTTGAAATCTATATGTGTGTATTGTGCTGGCGATTGGCCCACAAGTACTGCTCCCACATACTGTTAATGCAATGACTGGTGTTTCTGCAAATACTATACCTCTGAACACCAGAATACTGCTAATTAAATATGAATTTCATTATGCAAAATGTATTATTAAATTTTATTACTGCTGCCACTACTGAAATTAGTGCTACTGCTACATTCCTACCAGCTCTGTGACGGGAACACTTACACTCCACTCGGTACTTCTCCATGTCCTGCACCTCTGCGATGCTCTCTCGGAGGTCTGAGGTGAATCGTGCTCGGTCCTGCTGGCTTGGTGCTGTAAAGACAATCAGCACCTTCCTCTCGCCTCCGGGGTTCGCTGACGTCAGTCTGATACCATGAGGGTAGTCTGAGTGACACACAACACGCAAACACATGTAATCTCTGCTCAAAAAAAAAAAAAAGTCCTCTGAGATCCCTGTGAAGAGCTGAAATGACTCAGCTATTAAATCAAGAAGACGTGACATGTCCAGCAGCTGTGGAAAAAGATTCATTGATCAAGGTTTGACATGAAGTTGTATGTAAAAATAAAAACAAAACCTCAGGATACCAAGAAGAGTAAATAAACAAAGTGTCTGCAAAGTGTTGACAGTCACGCTTCCAACTGTGGGACATTAAGGCACAGCTGTGTTTGTAGCTTAATGTTAACTTTAATATTCTGATTCATGTTCTAAGCATTGTAATATGCTGTTTTCAGTTGTGCAGTATGGATTAAGTTGTGCAATATGCTGCTTAATTACAATACGCAATACTGCAGTATTAATATATATGCAATATATCTTAAACTACAATATATTGTATTAAACCTTTTATTAATGGCACATGAATGTGTGTAGATACCTCTACTAGTATGTGGTTGATTGTCACATGTCTATGTACTCTGTATGTAAAACGTATGTTAAATGCACCAACACTAGTACAGGAAAAATCTCCCTAAGAGGACGATTCTCAGTATATTATATTCTATTTCTATCGTATCATATTATTTCATTTACTATGATATTATACCACACCACATCATATTGTACCGTATTGTGTCATTTGGTATCATATTGTACCAAGACTGGGAACATGCATCTGGGTAGATGTTGTGATCATTGCCTTGCTCCAATTAAATTACCATAAATGGGATGTGTGATGTTTTTTCCTGTTTTTCCATCATTTAGATTCTGTTATGTTGTCAGAATTCTATCTTATACATGCTCAAGGATCCAAAACTTGAGGTGAATGTAAATAAATTCTCCCTGCAAATTGTCCAAATTGAAGTGCGGATTGAGGAGGCAATCAATGAAACATGTTATGCCGAGTGTTTTGGGACGCAGTGCTGTTAAACTTGTATTTGTTGAATACTGTCCAGGTGGTAAAGAAGCACGGTGGGTATATATATATATATATATATATATGATGTGATACAGCAGAAAGACAGAACCTAAAACAACCTGCTGCAGACAGAACTGAGCGACTTCATGTATAAGATAATGACCCTTGCAGACATTTCTATAGCAACTTTGATGATTTAGTTTTGTTTACTGTCCTTTCAGAAATCCTCTTTGTGTCTGTGGCAACTGTCAGAAAAAAACTGTGTTGTAATGTAGGGGATGCAAATGTTAAGGTTGCATCTGAAGACTGAATGTATCACAATGGTGGCATGAAGACTGTCCCATTTTGAAGGCTGTTTCAAATGCAGGCTCTTTTTCCCAGGCCATGAAAGATCTGGCTATTGGATCCTTTCCACAGTTAAGAATGAAGATGTTAAAAAACTAAGGGAGCTTAGAAATTAAAAATTAATATTTCAGATTGCTACAACAGTAAAGGTATCATGATTACAGACTGAAAGTGTTCCACAGCGACATCACTGACAATGAAGACCACAAAATTTAAATGGAACAATCCTCACATCACCCAACCCATAATTTGTTTGCATTTCCCTATAAGGCAATGGCTGATCACTTCATTTGTATGTCAAGTTTTATATATTTGCTTTTACATTCCTGAATTAAAAATTAAAAGAATGTCTATTTCAGAATTTGTGGTTTAGTGCTTGACCTGGAGTGGGAGTTATTTAATTTGCATGCACTTCTCTCATTGTTTACCATTATAAATTGGTTAAAAATCAATAAAAATATACTAAAAATACATTTTTGGACTGGAGTCAGTCTTACAGATGAAGACCAGTCTGAACCTGAGTTTTAAAAAGCTGTTTGAATTTTGGCAGAAAATAGCGTGTTTATGTCTGATCGTGAGTCCTGATCACCGAAAGCTGTTTGACAAAAGAAGTTTTCATCACACACACCTTCTTACCTGCCTCCCACACAATGTACACACACATTCAGCCGCCCACATGGCCGATGTATGATTGTGCTGATGAATCATATGGGACAATCTGTCCTGGTCACAGTCATTACCACAGTCTGCCAAGATCCATTTAGCTCCAACTGGAGAACTGTCAACAACAACAACAACAACGACTAACCAACTGAACAAGCTCTGAGACGATGCTGTGGATCCCTCAAGTATTTAATGCACCACATGATGCAACAATGCTTACCTTTTAATGTGATGTAATCTCATTTTATAGAATGAAATACATTTTCATGAAAAACTGATGCTAGAACTGCACGACAATGGAAAAAAAAAATTGTGTGTGTACTTGTCACTGGCTTGTGTCGTTTTTGTCCAGGTAGCTAGCAAGGTATGTAGCATCATGTCCCTATTAAAATCCTATTTACAAAGCTCAGATTAGTCAGTTGCTTCTTGAAGTGTCTTCAATGGACAATATGGAGATGTAGATGGAATCAGAGGTTGACAAAAAATGGTCACTGTCCTCTCTCTCTTAGAAAGTTTTAAAGTGTACATATTCTGCACATTTACAGGGTTATAAATATACTTTGGGGGTCCACTAGAATATGTTTACATTCTTTAATGTTCCAAACTTTTTTCCCCACACGCTGTACATTTCTGCAGCACATCTTCTCAATCCCTGTCTGCACTTGGCGCCTATCTCTTTAAGGCCCCTCTCCCGAGAAGCCCAGTCTGCTCCGATTGGTCAGGTGGCCTGATGACAGCGAGGTAACATTGGCTATGTATCGTTAATGCTTATAAGTTGTTAAAGTTTAGGTCGAACAGCCATCTCTAAACAGAGGACACGCTCTACGACGACACTTATCAGGGACTTAGAATGCAGTTCTGAAATTGCTCCAAAGAAAGTTTCACTACCAAATAACCATCTTTGAGTCGTGTCTCACCAAGCAGTGTGAGTGTGAGCATGTCTTGAGAGTCTTTAAGCCATGTGATTTGAGGGTGATAATAAATATCTGTGACTCCTCAGCAGACACTTACGACTGAGGAAACCTCTTGGATAAGAGGTGAAATGTCTTAATGTACCAAGAGGAGATGTCTGAAGCACTCAGGATTGTAGTTTATGGTTATTTTTGCTTTAGTATTATATTGACTACTGAGGTGTTTCATGTTAGAAATGTACGGTATGGATTCCCAACAGCTGGATGCAAACTTGCAAATGTTTGGCAGTTTGCACGAATGGCAATAATGTGTCGCTATGTGCACATATTTCAGAAATTGCATGGTTGATATGGACAACATTGGATTTGTTTTGGGGGTTATTAAGAATGCTGCATCTATTCAATAAATGTATTAAATGCTAGGGAGCCACGCTGTGCACTTCTAGCACACAACTTTGCTGTACTCAACATTTCTGGGTTCTCAGTTGGCTGGCAACAGATTACAGTATATGCAGGTTTTTCTGAAGTGGGGAAGAAGTGATTTTGCAGCTGAACCCACTCTGTGCGCAAGGCATCCTGTTAACAGGTGCTGAGGCACATTTGAAATGGCACCAACTCCAATCTGCTGCACAGCACTAAGAGCCAATTCATCTCTGCTCAAGTAGAGGCTTGGAAACCACATAGACACACCCACACACACACGCACACACACGCACAACCCTATATGATTGTGTTAACATCATTATCGAAAAATGTGTCAGGTGAGTGAGTTATGTTTTGAGGAATACTGCGAAGCAGCCGTTTTTTCAGATCGACAGACATATATTTTGGAAATGCGGTGATGTGTTTCCACAGTGTTGCTTTGAAACAGGCTGTTGTGTTTTCAGTGGTGCACCGACTACACTTGTGGAGACTGATGGTGCCTTACATTTAAAGAAAAGCCTGGCAGACAACTGTAATTGGAGAGGGAAGTGACGCTATGTTTTGCCAAGTGATTATTAACAGATTGTTGAAAACATTTCCAACTAGGACAGAGCCTCCAATTTTTTGTTCCACATGCATTTTTGGTGCATGTTTCAAAATCGAGCATAGTGTCATGCTTTGACCAAGCTCTGGCATGTTAATTTAGATTTATGGGCTCCAAAATTACCTTTTGCAACCATAATCTGCACTGAAAAACTAGCTCACAGTGCGTAAAAACAGACAAAAACTTGCTCAGGGTTCAGAGGGTTTACTGACATGCACAAAGCACGACGTCTTGTAGTTGCTACAGTAAACAGAGAAAATACCTTAAAAAATGACAACATGCTGGATGATGTCCTCCTTTTTTCTTTTTTTTTGGTTGCATGCTTGGAATAATTTTATAATATTAATCATCTGAACCCCAACTAGAATTAGCTTCTGCCACATTTTTACTCACTGTGGGCTTGTTTTTCACTGGAATCTAAAATCCTGCACCTCTGTAGAAACAGCAGAACCACGACTAGAGGCAGAGTGAACTCGAATGCGTCTTTTGTGCTGTATGACATAGTTATAATGCCATAAATCATAAAAACAAAAATACAAAAATTGAAAAAACCTTGGACACAAGATGTACAACAGTTTGTTTCAGAGTTCCAGAGACATTTTGCTAGCCACATTTTTAGTTTGTTGACATATTTGTCTCCTATGTGCTCTGGGTAAACACAGTCTGCAGTTTAACCCAGTTCATCCAAGAAGTTCCTGAATTCTTGTCATGGTACTGTCAATCACCAATATCTTCATGGTTGGGCCAAAAAGTAAAAAAATGACTTTTAAATGAGACATGCAGAATAAAGTGAATTTGATGAAATACCATAATTGTAAGCTCAGATTTGGCAAGTTTTCCGACAGCATAACGTGTCACAGAGGAGTAGGTCAAGGACCGTCGGAAAGTGGACAACCTGACGAAATATACAGGACCCATGAAATAATGGGTTCTGGAAGAAACTGTGAAGCACATGCTGTACACAGCCTTGGGAATTGACAAGTCTACATACAACACTGTCATCTGCACAGTTTTGATGTGTTCTGTGGATCTCCCACACTTCTGCATGTGTGGCTTTTCAGTGTCCCTGCTGACCGTGAGGTAAAAATAGAGAGGTGAGCTATGAAAGAAATAGAGACTTAAAAAATAAAACGCAGAGAGACTGAGACAGATGGAGAGAGCAGATGGACGAGAGGAGACAGAGGGCGGTACTTACAGGTGTTTTGGAAGGTGTGCACCTGCATGTCGACCAGCGGAAACGATTGTCTGAAGCTGTACGTCACCGAAGTCTTCTTCTTCTGGAAGATTTTCGTCACCTGGGAAGGAAAAATAGGATAAGAAGTTTTGACTGAAGAGAGTGAAAGTAAAGAAGGAGAGACAGGGGAAAATGAAAGGAAGAAGGGAGGGGGAGAGGAAACAGCAAAAGAGACAAAGGAGGAAGGAGTTTTGATGAAGTTAATCTCCGTCTTTATTTATCTTTCTTCTTTTTTGAGATGAGATTTTTAAAACCCCTCACTGTGACACTTTAATCTCTTCCCCATAAACTACAGCTGTTTCCCTCCGCATGCTTTTCACATTATGAACAAATTCTGAATAACTGAACAGAGCCGAGTCAGAGATAAGATCATTAAATCTAAGTACAAACACAAAACACACTTTTGGTGATGACTGTATAAGGCGACCCAGAAGGTAATTTAAATCATTTATGTAAACGACAGCTTTTATTCAAATTTTCATATTTACACCTGCAGTTGATAATGTTGTTTGTTTTCATCTTCATGGGACCTTTTTCTTTTTATCAGATTTTTCAAGATTGGCTTACATTCATTTTATCAACCCCAAGCAGTTTCTAGGCATGTTCTGCACCTGACACATTTTTAATCTCTTTAGGCTCATTTTTCAAGTCCTGCACATCTATGGAAACAGCCAAGCAATGGCTAGAAGTAAAGAGAGGTCTGTCCCATATCAGACGTTTATAATGCCATAAATCATAAAAAAGAGGAAATCAACATCTACAACATTTCTCCATAGATGTTGCAAACACTGAAAAAAAATGGTGGCTCGATGCTCTATGGATATTTTACTTCTTACATTTTTCATTTGTTTCCATACTTGTCTCCTCTCTGCTCTGTGCGACCACAGCCTGCAGCTCAACCGAAAAGTCTCTGATTCCTACTGTGTCCTCGGTTGTGCTGAGGAGCACAGAATGTTTCATTTTTCCACAATCGGGCTTGAGACAGTTTATTTTGGCACATTTTCAATGAGACATAAATAAATAAATTCTAAAAATAGAATAAAATGATACAGATGAAATATCACAACTTTAAAATACTTCAGTTTGAGCTTAGATTTGGTTAATTTTCCAAATGGAATCACATGTCACACTCGAATCATTCAAGGATTAAAGACCATCACCATTTTATTTATTTATTGCATTTTTATGGTTTCTGGCTTTAAAAAATTGTATCATTTTGGTGATTTACCCTCCCATTACCTTGAAATTTACTGATAACTTTTATCCTTGGGGTCAATTTGACCACAGCAATTTAAACCTTCAGAAAATTATCATAATTAAAATTGTTACCCAATTTTATGTGTCAATAACCCTTTAAATAAAGCTCCAAAAAATATGGCAATCACTTATTTAGAGACGTTAAACACTGAATGGGGTCAAACTGACCCCAAGTAAATAGGAGTGTTAAAAAACAAACATGTACAGCTCCACAGGGGGTCAATATTTAGATAACTCACTCATTCAAATTATATTAGGGCCTAAGGTTATACACTACTAAAGGCCACAGTTATACAACAGTCCGTGGCCCAGCCAATGTTGCTGGAAACATAAAGACTCAAGAAGTGAAGTGAAGTGAGAAACCCTAAAACTTAAGCTTCAGTGGAAAAACATAAGATTTGAAGGGTAAAACTTGCTGACAAATCCTGTTTATTTGCCTTTTCTCAAATAGCCACACTTTAAGACTTTCTGACATTTCTGGAGCACGGAATTAAAGTGCAGCCAGGCATTATTGGATAAACTGGTGCTCCAGTGAGGCACAAGCTCTATATCTCCCTCTTTAGACAGAGAATTTGTGGCAGACAAAGAAAGCCCTGATTACCATCAGTAGGTCGTTGAACAGGAAAACTTCTCTCTGGTGGACACCACTCCTCTGAGCTCTGTTTGGATCAGGAACCTCGAACAGCTGACAGCAGCACACCAACCTGCGATGAGGCAGGGACAGCACCTGCAACACACACACCACCTGTCATACGTCATGCAGATTAAGCAGACACATTCAGGGGTACAAGTTCTCAGTTTAAGCCATTAAATGTGATGTTTATGCAAGAAAGCCTTCAGTAGGGTTGGTTGAAGAATAGGCATGATTTAAATACAGCCCTAATCCTCGCTTTATCCTTTGTGCCTGAAACACTGGCGCACATATATTCATGTTTGTTCAGGAGCTCCTTACAGGCTTCTTGCCAACCACCATCCTCTCCACTGCCTGGACCTGCGACACGTGGTCATCATTGGTCCTCAGCTCCCACTTCTGGATCCTTCCATATATCGCCACAAGCAGGTCTCTGGGGATGTCCTGACCATTATCAACACCTGGTGGAAACATACAGGCAAGAATGATGAAGTAAAAGAAAAGACTAAACAGTGAAAAGTAAGAGAGTCAACACTACACTTTGTTGCCAATCATGCAAATTGCCCCGGGACTCTCTTTCAGTCCAATCTCCGCACCTATCTTCATCCTTATACCCGGAACTACCCCACAATCCTTGCTGCTATGTATAGAAAATAGGATGGTTGTTTTTTTGTTTTCACATTATCCAAATGTTGTAAGCCTCATGCTTTTCTGGGAGAAACCGTGATCTCAGAGCCTTTTTTTTTGCTCAGATTTGGTCCAGAGCGTATCACAAGCAGTCACCATCCAGCATAAATGTCACATGTAGAAATAAATGTTTAAGTCTGAGGTAAAGTGTCTCACCTGCTGAGTGTCTATAACAAGTGAAGATAAAGACTGATTTGAACAATTAAATAAGCTAGAAATGAACAGAAAACTACTCTTCTTTTAAAGCTCTTGTAAAACTTTAGAAAATGTAGTTTCACTCTCGTTTATTGCCAAGTTCTTCTGGCTGCAAATTGGTCACTCCAATCTACTTTTAGAAAAATCTTATGAGTGGAGACGGCAGCCAGCAGCATTTCTGCTACTTTCCAGCCAAGTGGTTTTTAAAAAAAATTCCAAACCTGGATTATTTAAAGCACTGATTGCATGAGACCATCTACTGACTAACCCCTCAAGTTTTTGATGAAGTCCTCGAGCTTCATCTTCCTCTCTGGCTTGACATTGGGGCTGTACATGTCTGTATTGAGGAGGATGATGGCGAAGGCCAGGATGAAGATGGTGTCCGGGTTCTGGAACTGCCGGATCAGCACTGGGTTACAGACACAGTACCGCTGACTGCAAGGAGACAGAAAGACTGTGAAGGAAACAACACATGCTGTATAGCACATCCAATTCTAACCTGCAGTGCAGTTGAATACCTGAAGGCCTCCACTAGTCGCTCCACCCGCTGAGCTTCACCTTGAACTTTAATCTGAGCTTGGAACTTCCTCAGCGCATCGTCCAGATCCATCCCCGAGAAATCCATCTCATCCAGGACACAGCTAGACACAGAGGCAGAAAACTCGTCTTTCCTTTTCTGCAGCTGTGGCCCCAGCTGCTTTACAAGTCAGAAATTTGTCCCAGAAAACTACTTATGCATTTATGACCTCAGGGTTGAGGCAGCTAAGGGAATTATATGATATTCTATGATTAGTTCCACCTTCTCGTGGCTCCTAACTGGACAATATCTTGGCTGTTGTGGCTTTTGCAGCTTATAACATTTGCAGCCTTAAATACATCGTCCTCTGCAGAGATATTACCATTAAAACCCTTCAATGTCCAGGTGCTTCACTATTGTGATACTGAGACGATAAAAGCTAATAAACAGGCTTTTTAATCTCTGCACCTGCATTTATTTACAGTAACAGTAAGACAACGACACCATCACAAGGTCCAGCGGGAAAAACAACATTACAGAATACCATGAAAAATAAAAGCAGCTAACAATTTTACACATTTTAGGTTGCTAATAATACTAGAAACTTGACATTTCTACAGCAGAACATTCTTAATAGTTTGGGAAATACCAGAGAGCTGAGAGTGTAATTGAATGAGTTAGACAGGGTGTAATATAGTTGACCATACCCTTGAATCAGATCAAAGTGAGGGTATATCGGACGTCTATCGGATTAAATCTAAACGAACATTTCCAAATTTAGTAATGAACATCTGCACAACTGCAAAACCAAACTGAGCAACCTATGGCTCTATACATAACACACACTAGAGGGAATTTTGAAATACCACAAAAGGAAGAGGGAGCCTGAGAAACGGCTACCACATCCAAGGAAGGCAGCAGGCGTGCAAATTACCCACTCCCGGCTCGGGGAGGTAGTGACGAAAAATAACAGATACGGGACTCTTTTGAGGCTCCGTAATTGGAATGAGCGCACTTTGGTGATGAGATGCAAAACTATGCTAAAGAGGCGCAAACTGCACATGAGATGCAAATTGACAAAAAAAAAGATGCAAAAAAGCCAAAACAGATCCAAAAGCACCTCAACAAAATGCAAATATACCCAATAAATGACAGTAAACTTCTTATGCTTCACTAAGGCAATGAGATCTAAAAAAAATGTTGCAAAGACAGACATTTTTCAAAAAATTGTGTGTTTTTTTTAGGCCCCTCCCTCGCCCTACTTCCACATCTTAGTGATGTCCTCATACGGCAAGCCATTTTAACATTTATTAGCTGAGTTTGAAATTAAGGTTTGACTGACTGAAATAGTGGATATCTGAAAACGTCATTCTCACTAGTCCAACTTGCTGGGCATGACGCTGCTCCTGCAAACTTGAAATGTGTCTGAAATGTTGACTCGGAAGAATTGAAACACAGATGTGTGCAGTATATATCCAGCCTGGATAATACTGTAAATGGTAAAATAACGCCATAGTCATTTCTTCCTGATTGTACCTTTCTGGAGCCAACAATCTAACACTCTCGCCCACGGCACACAGTAACAGGTCAGCTGCACGAAGGTGCGTCTTTAGAGTTCATCTGAAGCATACCAAATGCTCTGAATGATTACGCAGGCAGACAGCCTGAAAAAATACAGAGCCTCTACAGAAAACACACATACAACACAAAAGTTAAGACTATATTTCCCATAAACACATTAATTGAGAGGATTTTGTGATGGTGAATGGTCTGCATTTATATAGTGCTCTTCTACCTTAGTGGTACTCATAGTGCTTTACAATGTTTTCTCATTCACCCCTTCATACACCAATGGTAACAGAGCTGCCATGCAAGGTGCTGCCTGCCATTGGGAGCAACTTCGGATTCAGTGTCTCACCCTAGGACAGTTCGACTGTGGAAGGGTGGGGGATTGAACCACTAACCTTGCGATTAGAGGACAACTGCTCTACCACCTGATCCACAGCCACCCACGATCAAGTCATGCAAAGCTAATGTGGTCAGGACCACCACACCAGCCTGTAATCTTACTCTTCCTACCCGTCGCTCCTTGGAAGGATAGAAATAAAACACATGGATCTGAAGTCACATGAATGTTTGCACTCACTCAAGGACGTCCTTGTTGAACTGCTGCCGGCTGCCCAGGAACTCTCCGATCATCTGTCTGCTAAGTCCTTTCCTCTCCAGGATGAACCTGGCAATGCCCACTGGCGTGTCTGACACGAAACCCCTCTCGATCAGGTACTGGATCCCTTTCTCCGGCTTCCTGTATAACAGAGGAATCATGTCCTTTTATAGCTTGTCTTTTGCTTGACTATGCATTCTTTTAAGGTTTTTCTTATCTGTCTTTGACAGCACAGAAATATCTAAGCTTGTTTTCAGATGTTTATTAAGTTTCTGATACACCATCTATAGACTTTTTTGGGGGGTATTGGAATACACATGATAGATGGAGCATCTTCTTTTTTTTTTTCTTTAGTTGTTTTTTTGGCCTTTATTACATAGGACAGTCGAGATTGAGACAGGAAAGTAGGGGAGAAGAACGGGGGAAGGAACTGCAGCAAAGGGCCATGAGTCGACTCGAACCCATAGCCGCTGCATCGGGGACTGTAGCCCCTGTACATGGGTCACCAGCTCAACCAGTTGAGCTACAGCGGCGGCCGTGGAGCATCTTAACTTGTTTGATTTCTTAGATGTAGTTTGCACCTGCTGTCACCATCTACACAGTCCTTTTCCACAGCAAACATTTTGTCACAGTGTGGAAAGCACAGAAGGGTGTTATAAGGCGGCTCAAGCCTTTGTGCATGTTCGGACCACCAGAACCATCTCTGCATCAGGGCTGAGTTCGTGGGAGAAAAAGTCCCGACTCCAGGGTAGGTACTTCTGAGTGCCCCAGAAAAACTTTGGTGCAGTTCTCGACTATGATTGGTTAAACTTGGAATCAACTATTTCTAACTGGTTAACCTCAGAGAGGACAACGAGCACCATTTTTCTGCCGTCTCAGTGTCTTCTCCTCTCTGACATCAACACCTTCAGTGTAAAAGTCACCATTTAGGCACACCTCTATTGCTCTATTCATACATATCTACATTACATTAAGTAACTATAATTTGCAGTTATGTTGGTGCAATGACACAGACAAAGCTGTCGGATAAACAACAAGCTCCTGCAGTGGAAAGCTGCCTGTAGATTCTGAAAGAAGGTCCACTCTTCTTTGCTTTACCTTTATTTATTTACTGTTAACTGCAAGCAATTCCAGAGTAATTTTATTACAGTATAGCCCTTTGTAGAGCGACACAAACCTAAAATAGAGACTGGATAAAGCAGTAAAGCCTTGTACTTATTAGATTTGCACTAAATTTGATCATGCCATCAGAATCAATTCAGATTACATATGACATTTTATTTCCTGCATATACACATAATTCCCTGTAAGATGCACATTCATGTCTGCTGCCAGGTAATATTTAGCCTTTAATTAACTCTGGATGAGAGGAGAAAGATCAGGCCTTTGAATCTAAGTGTTCTTGTGGATTATTATACACATGTTTAGAGACAAATTCTCACTTGTTAAACAGGTTGAGTCCGATTCGGTACTGCCGCCGCTGCACCACGTCGTTGTTGAAGGCAGGTGAATCCCAGCTGTGACGGCTCTCTCTCTGATAGGTCTGCTTCCCCAGCGTGGCTCCTCCAATCGGCTCCCGCAGGCTGTCGCGCGACGAGGAGCCAGAGCTGCAGTTGTTGACCGTCGTGTCGTCGTTGGAGTTGGTGGTGGTGGAGTTGACGCTCTCGTTATCGCCATCCGAGCAGAGCAGGTGGTGGTGATGGAGGTGGGGGTGGTGGCCGTGGTGTTGCTGCGCCTCCATATTTTGGAGCGCCGAGGACGAAGACGAGGACAGCGGCGAGGGCGTGAGCGGCGGCGGCGGCAGGGGTGAGAGAGGTGTGAGCGGTGGTACGGGGGAGGGTAGTGGGGAAGAGGGGGGTTCCGGGTATGCATGGGGGAGGTGGTGGTGGTGTTGGTGGTGCAGGTGGTGGTAGTGGTGCTGGGCAAAGTGGTGCTGCATGTAAGGGCTGCCGCCGTGTCCGTGGTGCATGTGCAGGATGTGCGGCTGGCTGTACTGTGGGTGGTGGTGGAGGATGGTGGGGAGGTGGGGGATGGGCGAGGGGTGAGGGTGAGGGTGGGGGTGTGGGTGAGAGTGCGAGTGTTGGAGGGGGTGAGGGAGTGGGTGAGAGGGCAAGGTGCGAGCTGAAGGCATCGGCAGAGGGACGTTTGAGGGGCTGCGAGTCTGTCCCTGTGCTGTGGCAACCGAGCGGCCGTTTGGTTTGTGTTTGATGGTTCCTTGTGGAGAGTCAGCTTCGCTGCTTACTCCACCTCCTCCTCCTCGCTCGTCCTCCCCACTTTCACCTTCCCCTCCGCCTCCCCTCCTCTCCCTCTCGACTCCACCTCGCTCGATTCCTGAAGTTTCCTGTTCGTACACCAGGCGTCCGATAGACCCTCGCTCTGACCTGCAGATTTCAAGGTACCAAACAATAAAACAAGAGTCTAACACAGATTGGAACTGAACCACAGACATTAAAGTTATGTGCTGTAACTATTTGACCATGAAGAAACTCTGATGATGAATTTCATCATTTTTTAAAGGTGATTCTGTGTTTACTGTGACTATAACATAGACTGTATAAAAGATGGATGTAGCTACCGTGACGTCACCCGTTGGTTTCTGCACTGAGAAAATGAAGCCAGGGTTTTGCTACTTCCTGGTTGACATCTTGGAGTTTTGGAGCCAGTGACGAAAAAATCGTCGGAGGGGGGCGGAACCATAGGAGCAGCGATTGGTCAGACGGATTGAGAGGCAGGCCCTTTCTGCCCGCCCACATTTACCGCCTTCTGCTCGCTTGGTCTGCATCGTCGCTGCCGACTGTCAATCAAGCCAGCCACGCCCCTTGCCCCGCAAAATGTTGACGATTTTTAAAAAATTCAGGATTGATTTATTTTCAGATTGGCCACCTGATCTCTGAATTTGACTATGAAAGCTAATAAGAAAAAAATCCTGAGCTGTAGGAATGCGGTATTTTGTGATCTGTGATCACTTCTTTTCCAATTCAAGTCTTTGGGAGCCAGGGCTTTTTGGAGCCAGCAGCTAGCGGACGTAGTGATATTCCAGGTTTTTGACACGTCCGGGTAGGCTTCATTTTTCATGGCCGGTTGCTACGTCCATCTTTTATACAGTCTGTGGACTATAACCATATATCATTGTACATATAACGCCTTTCTGCAACGCCCCCTGCTGTTTGGATGCCAGCATTGCATACTAGCTCGCCGAATCCCAAAATGCCTGACTAAGCTGTGATCAACAGCCATGTGATTAGACTAATTAGCCGAACTGCATACTGTGTTTACACAAAGCAAAGCAGAGTAAGTAAAATAGAGCAAAAAACATGCAGAAACTGCTTAGGGTTCAGAGCAACACTAACATCCTGACAGCAAAGGGCTCTGAATAAGATGTTAAATGGAAAATGCTTTGTAAACGCCACAGCAACACAGAAAATACCTTAAAACCATTTTCTGGACAACGTGCTTCATTTTCACCATGTGTGGAATGATTCTCAAACATTAACCCCTCTGAACCCAAGCATTTTTTTTTGCTCCTATCACATTTTTACTCACTGTGGACTAATTTTTCACTGCACTATAAAAACAACACTTAGAATGCCATGAATCATAAAAACAAAAGTGGAAATTCCTTGATCATTTTTCTGACAACAATTTGAGAAAAAAACTGTTATCAACCTGTACAGCATTTTATGCCCAGGTCTCTCTTGTCTTCTCTCTCTGTAAACACAGCCTGCAGTTTAGCCATATAATCACTGTTTTTTTCTTATATGGCTTGTGGTTGTAGCTGAGTTAGTAATAGCTTCTGAGTTGTGCTGAGACAGCAGCATTTTCTTTTGCTTTTTACAGGATATAGTGTTTATTTCTGGACAAAAATTAAAATGAGAATTGTTGGAACAACGTAATTTTGATGAAATATCACAATTTTAACCTTAGATTTGGTTAATTTTCCAGACTACATTGAATTTGGGTGAAAATTAAAAATGAAAACATGCCTTCGAGCCCATTGGCTGGTTTTTGGGATTCAGAGGCTGAACCAAAGACTAAAGTTTGTTGAGAATTATTACCATAAATATGTGAAGCTAGACATTTAAGATTTGTACTGACCTGTCACTCATGTCCACCGAGCTGTCACTGGGCGGTTCGATGGTCAGGACGGGAAGGTGTCCGCCTCCTCCTCCTGCCCTCCCTCTGTACTCCCCCCGACACTCTGTGCAGGGAGTGCTGCTCCTCCGGCTAGCATTGCTACCTCCCTCCGTCTCTCTACTGTCCTCCCTACCCCCTGCACCTCCTCCTCCCCCTCCTCCCCAGTACTCTGTATCAGAGCTGGAGGCGGGACGGGAGAGTGGTGAGGAGGGGAGGCAGCCCTCGTCCATGTAAAGTGTGACATCACTGAAGGAGGTGGTGGTGCTGTCCTCGTGCATAGCGGCGCCTCCTCCCAAGCCACCCCTCCCTCCTCCGGCCCGGCCTGCGGCACGTTGGGAGGATGCACTGGTGTTGCGCCATGCACACTGTCTGTAATCATCCTCGTCTTCCTCCTCATCCTCCTCACCTTCCTCTTCCTCCTCTTCCTCTTCTTCATCTCCCTCCTCCTCATCCTCATCATCGTCTTCCTCTCCCTCTCCTCCTGCTTCTTGGGAGTCTTCACGGCCTGACTGGCAGGTAAGCGAATCGTCCATGGAGTCAGCCAGAGACTTAACCTGCAGTGAATGCACATGGAGAAGGTCAGCACATGAAAATAATGATCAGATTTTAGAGATGCATCTCAGTTTGAGGAAGTGACAGAAAGAAAGGTCACAGAAGCCAAAACTTGCTGGTTGGACTGAATAAATCATGATTTGGTTGATTTGGCCGCAGGAGATTATGGTACGCATCGTAGTGTCATTATATATATATACACACACACACACACGCACACACATACATATACGTCTATAAATGGAGGACACCGGCAGGCTTAGCAGCACATTCCAGACTTGCCTCTCCCCAGCAATGTTTTCCAGGCATTCCTAGGCAAGAGGGGGTATATCATCCCTTCTGGAATATCTGTCTCCCCAGGTGCACATACCTGGAAAACCTCGGTGCCTAGGAGGAATCCTAACCAGGATCTTGGAAAAGAAGTGATCACAGATCACGAAATACCGCATTTACTTTGTGCTACATTTCTGTATGAAAAGTGCTCTATAAATAAAGATTATTATTATTATTATTATTCCTACAGCTCAGGATTTTTTCCTTATTAGCTTTCATAGTCAAATTCAGAGATCAGGTGGCCAATCTGAAAATAAATCAATACTGAATTTTTTAAAAATCGTCAACATTTTGCGGGGCAAGGTGCGTGGCTGGCTTGACTGACAGTCGGCAGTGACGATGCAGACCAAGCGAGCAGAAGGCGGTAAATGTGGGTGGGCAGAGAGGGCCTGCCTCTCAATCCGTCTGACCAATCGCTGCTCCTATGGTTCCGCCCCCCTCCGACGATTTTTGCGTCACTGGCTCCAAAACTCAAAACCCTGGCTTCATTTTCTCAGTGCAGAAACCAACGGGTGACGTCACGGTAGCTACATCCATCTTTTATACAGTCTATGATGGCAATAGATAAAGTTTGGAACATTAATCGACTGGCAAATCAAAAGCGTTGCTTTCTGGCTCAGCTCCTTCTTCACCATGACACCCTGGTAAAACCCCTGCATTACTCCTGACACTGCACCAATCTGTCTTCCCATCTCAAGCTCCATTTTGCTATCACAAGTGAACAAGATCCCAAAATACCTAAACTCCTTCACATGGGGCAGCGAGTACCCCAGAACAGGAAGGAGTAATTCACTAGTTTCTGGCAGAGAGAGTCAGACTTGGAGGTGCTGACACTCATCATGACTTCACACTCAGTTGCAAACTACTCCAGTGCATGCTGAAGGTCATGATTGGCAACGAAACCTCACCAGCTGCAAAAAGCAAAGACAAGGTTTCCTAACCAGGCACCAGCATGATTGGCGGTTTGACTTTGTGCCGAGAATACAAACACAGCTCTTGCTTTGGTTTGAGGAGTGATGGCTCGTAGCAATGTTTCAGTAGTACCCCAGACAGTGACACAGTTGTAGGCCAAGGCCACAACACACATGTGGACCTGAGGATTAAACTCCCATGGCCAGTTGAGTAGCTCCACAATGGTACAGAGCTTGTCCACTGTTCCACTGCTGGGACAGAATCTACTTTGCTCCTCCTGAATGAGGTCTGACAAACTGTTGGAGTCCTTTAAAAACTTATTCAAAACACATTGTACCAATTGATCTTGCTGTCATCTTTTACCATAACTACTTTGACCTGTGCTTTTGTCCAACAATAATTTGTGTCTTACGTTGTATTCGTTTTAAAAATGAACTTTATGAATAAAGTTTGTCACTGTCATTATCAGTATATTGAAAATTGAGGAAGAAAATGCTTTTACCTGCTTTGAGAAAGAGTCGTCCACATCTCCAGCATCTTCCGAACCCTGTTGACCCGCTGATCCTTGACCCTGTGGCTGACGCTCATCGAACGAATACTGCACTCGCAGAACAAACAATACAGAATTAGAAGTTGCACACTCTGACATGAATGTGGTGCGATTTTTGTACTCTTTTGTTTGTACTGTACATGTGTGTGGGTGTACCTGCATCCTCATGTTTGACAGGATGATGCGGCGGGTCATCCTGCTCTCGGAGGCGGAGCTGCGAAGCCTCTCAAAGTTCTTGTTCATGCGGTACTGTCTGAACGCGGTCTGAATTGTCCTCGCCGCCCTCCGGGACACGAACTGGCCCCCATACTTCCTCTCCAGCATCTCCACCTATCAGGGTCATACACAGACAGCCAATCAGAGAAGGTAGAACAACATGGATTTGCAGATTTGCACTTGCAGGAAATGACGGAACAGAAAGCAAACATTGCACCAAAACAGATCTTGACTTGACTTGCAGAGCCTTAAAGGATAATTACAGTTAATTTCAAATTGGCGCATTTTCCCTTAATAACGCTAATGTGTCAGTATGGATCATGTCTCCTGCGCCTGCTCTCTCTGTGGATGTCTCTGGACCTGGAGCTCCTGAACTCCAGCCGCTGGCCTCACCTTTCTACATCCTGCTGCCCCCACCATGATGCCTCCTGTTACAAAAGGACAATCACTTCTCATAACTTGTTTAACTGTAAACTACATTGTATAATTCATCCTACATCCACCCAACCGGTCGAGGCAGATGGCCGTCCCTCCCTGAGCCTGG